TCTGTATATAAAAACAATAGAAGTCTATGTAATGTCCCCATTTAGTGTGTGTGTGAAAAATAGTATATCAGTCTGGCGTGGTGTGCGTAGAGGGTTGGACCCCAAACCTTTAATTGGCAGTTTATACATAAAATGTGAATACATACCCTCACATGGTCTGTAATGTTAGCAATGGTGATGAGTGTGTCCCGAGCCAGCAGATAATCTTCTGCAACCTTCTCACCCAGAGCGACAGAGCAGAGTGTGTCCAAATTACTGAGAACCACCTCCCTCTCAGTATTAAACACACACACAAAATGAAGTTACAGATTGAAATAATGCACACCATGCCTTAAACAACATGATAAAGACAAGAACGCCCTCAGATTACAAAAGAACTAGCTCATAGCTCATTGGACATTACAGAGAACTGAGTTTCGACCTGTGTCCACACACACACACACACACACACAAAATGATCATCCTTCCCAAATCTCTCCTTCTCTCTGAGGAAGAGCTTGATAGGAAGAACTCGCTTTATGTTGGCTGGCCCTTACAGCAAAGCAGCAAATCTCCCCTGCCCAGCCAAGATTACCAGCCAATAGGAGCACAGAAGAGCTCAGACTCTTACCCAACAAGCTCACATTCGCCTTGGTCTCATCATTGGGCAACATTATTATTATGCTGTGACATTAAATCAGTTCAACAGAATCATTTTAAGACATCTGGGAAGCATTAAGAGTTGAGTGTCTCACCGTGCTGCCATGCCCAGCAATAGCACTGCAGCTCTCCTGTGAAGTGCTTTAGTCTCTCGTTTACCAGAGAACCTCTCCCACAAAACCTGCACCACTGAAGTCTGCAGGGCACTCTCACTGCTGAAAAACTCCTGGACCTGCACCAAGAGAAACACAATGTCAAAAGAAGAATAAATTGTGGGAATGCTAACATGTGGGGCAAAAAACACTCACAATCTCCTCCAGACACTGGACGGTCCCCAATGAAGCATCGATCATCAGATCTGACAGATTATCCACTAGAGTCTGAGCCTTTGCCCTGATGGACAGACACAAAAGGCCAGTTGAGCTACAGTATATTAAATTGTGTTCCTTCATCTTTATGAAATGAATCAAAATGATTGCAGACCTGGTGTTGTCACCGGGGGGGTTGAGGTACAGGCGCCTGTAAGCCTGGATGACGGTATCTTTGATTGTGACATCAGTGGACCAGACAAGAGGCAGCATCTTTCTGACTCCACACACGGAGTCGGCCACACTAAACTCAAATGCTGTGACACAGAACTGCACGGCCTCCTGCACAACTGAGAGAGAGACCAATCAGAGGAAACTACTCATTGTTAACCTTGCCATGATTGACAAGATCAGATGAAGACAAAGATCTTTTCTTCTGTATTGTTGTGTATATTAAGAGTAAAACGAATTATCGAAAAAAGGAAAAAAAAATGCTGGGCAGGGACTTGGTTCTAATCACCGGTTGTTAACTGGATGGAGGCAGAGTTGAATTAGACCTTGCAGTCAATTGTAAGAAAGGGGTTTAAGTGAACTAGATGATTGGGGAAGTTTGGCATATGTCACGAAAGAGCAGTCTTGTTTCTCCAGAAGATTGAGTTACATAATTTTGATTAAAAGGTAAATGGATGAAATGAAATGCATTTAGAAAATAGGTTGAATTTATTTCATGCAGATTTAATATAAACCAGACAGTCATTTAGTTTATAGTAATTACCTGTAGTGGTTTTCCAGTACAGCATGTTGTTAATGACAGCGATGGCTCTTTCTACTTGTAGAGCGAAGCTCTCTGTGTCTTTCAAGTACTGAACCAACATCTCCTGCTTCTTCAGTTCACTCTCTCCACCTTCATTCCCTCCACCCTCTTTTTGTGGGGTGGGTGGAGCATCGCTTGACATGGCTTCAGTTGTCTCCTGCTCTGGACCTGAGAGAAGAGAGATGCACATCAAACACAACTCATGTTATTATTTGGACTAGGAATCCTGTCATCTAATCTAGGCAGGTGAGACCATGAACAAGTTCCACAGTGCACCGGAGCAAAATTCTTTAATGTAGAAGTTTAGAAGACTATTCGAAGTAACACATACCCTTGAAAAGTGTTGCAAGTGTGTTGATGAGGGTTTCTGCATTTAAGACGGCCAGATCTGTGAAAAATGATGACTCTGGGAACAGGGAGTGAGCCCGCATGCACAGACCAACAGCTTTCCTACACACAATTAAACACATTGCATGTCTGTGTGCAGAAGTAAGGGTATGAGTATATTTGTGTTTTAATTTACACGAACCTGTATTTGCTTTCCCGGAGAAACTGTGCGATTTGTAAAGCAGTGTCTCTGTCGCTTCTCTCCTCCCTTCCCTCTGTCTGCTCCTCTTTTTCATCCTCCTCTTCCTCACTGCCAGGCTCCAGTTGTGCTTTCACAGTCATCTCTACCTCAGGCTTCATCGCATCCCAAAGATCAGCTGCTGTGATGACTGCAACTACAAACAAAGCTAAAATCTTACAGCTGGAAACAATTTCTGCAGTGCCAGCGATAGTGACTCCAGGCAGACTAGAGCAAAAGACTGAAAGCAGCAATTCAATTAGAAAAGAAACATACCGAGCATTTGCTCTTTCTGAGCGTCTCTCATCTCTTTTAATTTGGCCATCTCTTTTTCCAGGGGCTTTTTCAGGTCCACACTGCTCAACTTGACATGGAGAAAACAAAAGCAGGTACATTTGATCTATGTAAATAGTTAGGTACCCTAGTGTTTAAAAGTTTAGGGTCAGTAAGATTAATTTTAAAGAAGTCTCTAATTTGATCAAAACTGCAATAAGACCATAATAGTGAAATATTACAATTTAAAAATTCCCTTGTTACGTTTTAGCATTTTCAAATGCAATTTATTCTTGTGATAGCAAAGCTGAATTGTCAAGCAGCCATTGCTCCAGTCTTCAGTGTCACATGATTCTTCTTATCAATGTTGAAACAGTTGTACTGCTAAATATTTTTGTGAAAATATATATTTTTTTTTAATCGAATGAGTTCTCACTGAATAAAAGTATTTAAAAAAAAAAAATAATGGTAAGTGCATCTACCAGATGTTTTAATTGAGCATATTTGTACCTTGCAGCTGTAAGGGTTATGAGCAATGAAGGCAGCCAGCAGCTGGATAGCACTCTTACACACATGGACAGACTTATCACCCAGACGCCCAACGGTCAGCTCCATAACTTCAGTGTACCTGCACAACGGCAAGGCCTGGAAAGGGGGGTGGGGGTGGGGGATTATATCTTAGAGCATCCAAGAATAAAACCCTTTATTTTCTGTTGAAGAGAAAAGGGAAAACAACCCACACACCTTGCTGTTGACAATGCGTGCATAGACCTGTAGCACACGTGCTCGGACATGTGAGTGGGCATCATGGATGTGCTCCTGCAGCGTGTCCAGGAAACGATCTCGACTTGCACGAGCAGAATCACCCAGCTTATCACCAGACAAAACCCGGACAAGAACCTCACCGAGAACCTCACACACAGCCACCCGCAGGCTGGGACTCTGTCCAAACACAAACCGCATGTTAACAGAGCACACACAGTCACATTCAAAGAAGAGTTAAGCTCTGAAACTCACAGCTTTGTTTTAAATGATTGCCCTCAGATTACCAAAGAGAGAGCTCAATGCCCAAAGAATTACAGCAGAGAACTGAGATTCAACCTGTGACCCTACACACGCGCACACACACACACACTGTAAGCCCCATCCTTTTCTTCCCCATTTCTTCAAAGGATAGAAAACTCAGAGGAATGGGCTTGTTGAATGTAGGCAGGCCCTTACAGCAAGACAGCAAATCTTCACTGCCCAGCCAAGATTACCAGCCAATAGGAACACAGGAGAACTCAGACTCTAATTCAATGGGCTCATATTCGCCTTGGTCTCATCACAGAGCAAGAATCCAATGAAAGAAGAGATGAAAGAGAACATGTGTGACCGTACCTCTCCCTCCAGGTGTGTAAGGAGAACACTGATGTTGGGGATCATGGTTTCGGGTACCAGAGTACTGAGTTCAGACAAAAAGCTGGAAAAAGCTTTCACACCTGAACCTTCTCTGGCTAGTTCCTCACTTGACTTCTGACCAATCTCTCTGAAACACACACATGGAGATTTAATTTGGATGAAAATCATCATGGGTGAGCAGTATAATAACAATGTTATATTATTGTAATAAGATGTTACATTAAAATCAAAATAGTTACTTTGCTGGAAACACAACCCCAAAATGTTATTAAGCGAATATATAGTGGTAAATACATGAAAAAATCAATTTCTTTGAATTTTGATAGATACAAACCAAAAGATATAATATATATTAATAATAAACTTTAAATTATACACTTAAAAGTAAAATTATATCATTTGATGAGTGCTGCTATACTGGAAATGCCCATTCGTTAACAGACTACAAGTTATCTATTTTTATTTACTACCATATATATCAGATATTGCATGATACAGTGAGTATAGAAAAGAATCACCCCCCTTTAAAATAATCACATTCTGTTGCTTTGCGGCCCAGCCTAAAATGAAGACTGTATATGGCCACTGTATATGCAGTCATACCAACAAAGTATCACAAGACCACTAAGGTTATTAAGAATCACCTCATGATCTCTCCGACGATGGCCTTGACCCCGTACTCTGAGCTCCAGGCAGCCACAGCTTGAGCACATACTGACGCCAGCTGCTCAAAGTGCTGCAAGAGCTGAATCACCTTCACACATGCTCCTGTACAGGAAAGAGAAAATATTCAGGACAACATCTACATCATTGCAAACCCATTCACGGGTTTGTGATGTGTACATATAAACCTACCCAACATGTGATTGTATTTCTTCACCATGATTCCTAGCACATGAATGATGGCATCTCTGGTGGACTTGCTCTTCACGTGGCTTATGGTGGGGTTTTCCAGGAGTTTATAGCAACAGCATGTCACACAGCTGCATAAAAATTGACAAACATTAGACAAGTAGAAACTGACACATGTGATCATAATGATATCTTAGCATGTCACACAGCTGCATAAAAATTGACAAACATTAGACAAGTAGAAACTGACACGTGATCATAATGATATCTTAAAGGGTTAGTTCAACCAAAAACTAAAATTCAGTCATTAATTACTCACCCTCATGTCGTTCCAAACCCATAAGACCTTCGTTCATCTTCAGAACACAAATTTATTTTTGAAAGATATTTTCAAAAAATAATACTTTTATTATTTAAAATATATTTTTGATGGAATCTGAGAGCTGTCTGACCCTGCATAGACAGCAACGCAACTGAAATGTTTCCAAGTCCAGAAATGTAGCAAGGAGATTGGTAAAATAATCTATGTGACATCAGTGGTTCAACCGCAATTACACGAAGCTACGAAAATACTTTGTGCGCAAAAGAAAAAAAAACAATAACTTTATTCAACAATTCGTCTCTTCCGCATCACCCTGTAGCGCCATTTTGGAGAGTATCCGCTGGACGTAAATAATGTATGCAGTTCTGTGTCAGCTGCCTCACACGGATACGCTGTTTTCGTTCAGATCAAATGACAACAACGTAGGAAACCGATCCGGCGAGACGCAGCTCTATGCAGGGTCAGACAGCTCTCAGATTCCATCAAAAATATCTTAATTTGTGTTCCGAAGATGAACGAAGGTCTTACGGGTTTGGAACGACATGAGGGTGAGTAATTAATGACATAATTTTCATTTTTGGGTGAACCAACCCTTTAAGACATATAGAGCTACAAAGATTAAGCAGAGAAAGGTGACATTTTAAGAGGAAAATCTAACAGAATTTACCTGACAAACTCCTCCTCCACTAGAGACAGACTCCACAGTGTGCGAATGTCCAGCTGCAGCAGTTGAGTCAAACACTGAAGAACTTTCTCTCTCTCACTGTCCCACTGCAGGAGACCTTTTCCGGCAACTTTATCCTTCTTGCGACCCTGAGACAAACACAAAGAGATGTTTAATATGGTGTATACACAAAATCAACAAGCTTAGAAACAATATTTGTTGCCCTCAGATTACCAAAGAAAACATTCACAGCTGGTGGGCCCATTTTAGGAGATGTGACTCTTTGCTGACTGACACATTTACACACACACACACACTCGGGACATACTCAAACACACACACACACACACACACACACACTGTAAGCTGCCAAATCATCCACAAATGTCCATTTCTAAAGGAGAATTGTATTATGCTTGACAGCCAGCATCAATATGGGTGGGCCCTTACAGCAGCGCAGCCAATCTCCACTGCTCTGCCAAGATTACCCACCAGTCAGAGAGCAAGAGAACACAAGATCCCAGCCAATCAGCTCGTATTTGCCTTGTTCTCATCACGGGGCATAGTATAAACCAGTGGTTCTCAATTCCAGCCCTGGCGACCTGAATGGAACCTATATGCTCCCTTCAAACTGGAATCAGGGCAGAATATCCTGTGAAGTCCACTTTGCAGGGCACTTACAGTCAAATAGAACAAATGTCTGAAGTGATAAGACACACATACAAAATGTCCAGAGCAGGGGGGTCGTGAGGACTGGAATTGAGAACCACTGGTATAAACAACTTATGAATAATAAAAACTCAACATTCAGCAGTACCTTGCTGGGTGCCGCGACGATGGTCTCCCTGTATGAGTCACTCTCAAGTGTTTCTGTGAGTTTGCAAAGAAGAAAAACACTCATCTTCACAGTATTGAGCTGCTGTTTGCGGTCCACGGCTGATAAAGAGCCTGACAAAAGAAGGGTCGGCAGGGAAACCGACAGGCCTCTGACCACTGAAAATAGAGAGCATTGTGATACATTGTGGAAAATATAGTTTCGATTCATTCCAAATAACTAGAAGTAATATGACTTGGTGATAAGGAAGTTTGACTATGAAATTCCAACCTTGTATCAGCAACTCCAGCGTGTCTTCTTTCACTGCCACATCCACTGTGCGACAATGTCTAAATGCATACAGAAAATTATGCTTAGACAAAGTCATGGTAATACATGGGGTTAATGTTTAATACAGATAAAAATATATTTATAACATTGCTATTTCTTGTTGTTTTCCCCCATCAGTTGTACATTTAGCCGCATTGTTATTCTGATATTGGTTTCTTGTAAGGAATTGTATGGTGTTCTTGGGTTTTGAAACACTCTTGATAGACAAAACATTATCACAAGCTATAATAACTGTTATTATGGTCAACTTGTTTTCATTTGATGATGATTTATTTTTGCATAGTTTATTCTAAGGCTTAGAAAATTGTATACAGTTCAGGTTTTGTATACATACATAAATGTTTGTTGTGTCTACACTTACTTCAAAACACTGTATGCGGTGTCAAAATGTTCCAGGATGCACAGGGGCCCTTGACTTCTCAGTGCTGCTTTAAAACCTTAATAGCAGACAAAAAAAAAAAAAAAAGTGTAATCACACCAGTACAGGTAAGAGTATTGAAATATATACAGTTAAAAAGTGCTCAGCACTTACTGTTGATGTGAGAGGGAAGCTGTTTAGCAGGGACATGTCTGGATAGTGATCATAACTGGTATAAAAACCAAAAAAAAAAAAAAAAAAAAAAAAAAAAAAGTGTAATCACACCAGTACAGGTAACAGTATTGAAATATATACAGTTAAAAAGTGCTCAGCACTTACTGTTGATGTGAGAGGGAAGCTGTTTAGCTGACAGCACATCCTGAACCACATACTGGTTAACAGCACCAGACTTCACGAGATCGTCCAAACAAACCGGTACAATAAAATCCCACGACATCTCTGCACGCCTAAACGACAATCAGTGAAATACACACATGCTGATCTGTAAAATAAGCCACCACAGAGTAGCAACAGAAAAATACACACGGCTAAGTTACATCAAGCCCAGAATGTCTGCCCTATAAAGGTACGGTCTAACACTTAAACGCATCAACTTGGCTAATATAAACACAAAATATAGAAAAAAATGTTTCAGTTTACATTAGACTTAAGCAAAACACGTTTGTTTTGTTTGACAGGGCAAGCTAGCATGCTACGCTAACCAGAGTGAACAGACAAATCTAAATTTCTTCTAGGCTACACACTTCCTACGGTTGAAATAAATACTACAACACATCCAAACACTCACCGTACAAAAAAGGCAAATTTATTCCCAATAAACCCTAACCAGAAGAACTAATCCGCATGAAGCAGACTGGACTGACTGAACGGTTTGAGTCGCAGCTTTGAATTTTACACAGCGCGCGCCAAAGGAAGTACGCCATCACTCCGCCCACTCACAAACGCCACGCCCAACTGATCAGAAGAGGGTGCCAGGGTTTGGATTGAAACTTAAAAAAAAAAAGCCAAGTAGGACGTAAAAAGAATGTGAAAATGCTACATTAAAAATGTATCAGATACGGTAATGTGGTAAAAAAAAAAAAGTGTTGTAACAAAGTATGAATTACAATAGAATTTACTGACACTTTAAAGAAGACATAACATACTTTTATGGCAAAATTATTATTTTTTTTAAAGTACTGAAATTCTCATTCTCCGCCCTAACCATTTCATTTTTCTCATATTTTATTTTTATGGACGGGTGCTGTGCTGAGTAATATGCTTGTTAGTCCACAAAATAGCTTTGTTTAATGTATTATTTTAGTGTCATGTTTGTTACTTTGGTTGTTTTGGTTTTATTTTACTCAATTTAACATTTACTTTATTTTAGTGTCATCCTGCCGTTTTATCAACGTCGTTGTATCAACGTTTTGCCAAGCTTCTTGTGTTTTCACAAGTTTACAGGACCATCATTGTTGCAACATCAGTATAACAATGGCAGAAAATTAAAGTTACAAGCTGCGAATGGTGCAGATGAATTATTCAGCAAAGAATGACGTGTCCAGGAAGCTTTAGAAGGCTGATAGTAGTCTTTATAGACAGGAAACTAAATGATAATGTAGTTTTGATTAAAACGGTGCTATTGATTCTGATTGGAAGCCAACCTGCAATGAAGCAACCTTTGAATCCGTTGACCTGGGCAAAATGCAAGTAACCGTGATCATATTAACAACAATCGTATGACAAGTGTCCACTTTTTCGTAATTACATAAACGATGTAGCGTATGCCAGATTGAGCCGGTGCGGTTAATTTCCCAATGTCAAGCAAACAACCTCTTGCGTTGTATTAAACTTTTATTTTGACATCACAGCATTAAAGCAGCACTATGTAACTTTTGGCGCTCTAGCGGTTAATAAACAGAACTGCACACATCCCGCGGAAGAACATTCCAACCGGAGCTACTTCTCTAAGTTTATGTCTATGGCGATTCACGCAGGTATATGTGTTACTCCGCAGCGGTGACGACCGACCCGACCAGGCTACAATAGTCCAAATATAAGTACTTATTATAAGTGTACCGTAGTGATACGGAATAAGACAAAAAC